TCCAGCCAATCTCTAGTTTGAAACCATGAGCTGCAAAATGAGCGCCTTACCCCACTGTACAGGCGAGTTGGGTACTTTTTTAAATATACCTGGGCAGGCTCTGTTTTGCCGAGGTCCTCTGGCACTTGCGGGCCGCTGAAGGGGTGGCGGTGTTTGGGGCAACGAAGACGGCTGCGGCTGCTCCGCCTCCGTGGGCGAGGCGGGCGGGAGGACGTTAGTGTCCACGACAGTGGCCGCGGGTAACGTAATGTCCCCATGATCTGAACTGTTATTACAGTACCTGCAGTAGATGCAGTGTTACTGCTGGCGATAAAGGCTGGTTGTTTTAACAATTTTCTGATGTCCATCATTGACTGCTGTGTAAGCACCTTGCAGATGACGAACGCGCAGCGGCACAGGTCACGCGCACCTGACATAATAACGTTACTTACCATTTAAATTGACCAAATAAATGCAGCAGACAATGTTATTTAACCATAATTAAAAAAAAATTATTTCAACTATATTCTTCTTCTTCTTCTTATTATTACTACTATTATTATTATTATTGTTATTATATATGTAATATTTTCACTTTTCATTTATTTAAATTTTTTTCACTTTTCATTTTTTTTTTTTTTTCACTTTTCATTTTTCAAATAAGGGTGCATAACGACTCAACTGAGGGTGCAATGCACCCTTATGCACCCCCGTAGAACCGGGCCTGCTAGGTAAACAACAAAACCCCATTTCTAACCAGTGACAAAAAAAAATTGTTTGAACATGGCAGCTAAGTTAGTGTTCTTGTAAGTCATGTGCATAACTGGAAGCATCAAAAGAGGTTTGCTAAGCTTTCAATCATAATGACAGACTTCAAAAGCTCAAGACAGAAAAAATACACACATCGTTGGTCGGACTCGATAGCCTACTAATGCAACTTTATTTGATAATTATAAGATAAATATTATTTTGAAGCTTTAAAAACCACAAAAGTGGAGAAAAATATATACACAAGCATCACTGAAAGTCGATCACTTGAAAAAAATCTTCACTGTGAGTTTCAAATGTTACATTATGCTTGTTCTGTGAGGATCTGCTTCACGGCTAACAGGACGTCCTAGAAATGAACTAGGCTACGTGACAAAGTCACAGTGTGAGTGTGTACAAAGGGGCATGAAAGGCTAGTCTCATCAAACAGACATCACCAATTGCAATTTGCGACATGCCTCAGGACAGTGAAAATTGGAATTTGATCTTTGACTATTCTCAGTCACTCTCTGTGATGGCACTCAAAGGGATGATTCATCGCCAGTGTTGTCTGTAAGTGAGCTCATAAAAAGGAGCTACAGTATACACTTGTTTTAGGGTTGCGAATGCCTCAGGTGAAGTGGGATCAGAGGGTCTCGTGTCTTCGGCTTCACAGCACTTCAACTTCATACAATTGAACCACGTCAGCAGTGATAATTTCGGATAGTTGGGGGATTTTAACAGTGAGATTAGATCAGGACAAGATATCAGGAGATGTTTGCTCATCACAATATGGCTCCTTTCAGTCTGTCCACTTCTACCCTACTGATAGGATCTGGAGACTACAGCTAGAGTTAGTAGAGACATAAAATTGCTATTTAACACTTTACTTTTACTGCATGGTTCAGAGAACAGATTGTATTTGTCATAAAAGAGTTAGAGCACATGACTGTTTGATCTTTGGATCTATGTCTTATCTGTCTTAAAGCAATTCAGAAAGTTAACTATACAGAACTGCATACCATAAAACTTTGATTTAGTTTTGTGGTATGCCGTTTTGGATATAATAGTCTTTTGCAAGCAAACCGGATAACTGACCACTATATAAAAGAGAGAGATAAATCAACACAGTTTACATTTAAGAATTCAAAGAAAAGGACAGTGATTTTTCCACCAGATGTAAAAAACAGAGCGGAAAATGAACCCTTGGTGTGATGTGCTGCTGAAATGTTACACAGATATGTGAAATGGCATAACATGGCCAGCGACCATGGGCCAAAGCAAACAATATCTTTCCATATTACAGTAAAAAATGTACGGGGGAACTGATGAATCCGGACGCTTAATGCTATTCTGAGATAATCACCATTGGTCGATGCCTGCCCGCACACAGCTGATTTTATTATAGTATTCACTGAGAAAACACCAGTGAAGGCTGTTATTTAATGTAAGTCTAGACATCTCCATTCCTCTTTAAAAAAAAGGAGATACTGCTGAGCAAATATGTTTTTAAATGTCTGTACATTTATTCAGTTGATATATATATATTTTATTTAAAGTAGTCACACTGCAGACAAAGTGATAATTAAATGTTTATTCAATTGACTGTAAATGTTAGCAAATGTGTGTCTCGTTAATTATTATTATTTTTGTTTAATTTTGAATTCCATCAGATGCAAAAAACAAACAAACAGCAACCTATTGGTAATTATAAAAAAAATCTAAACATTATTTCATTTTATTTTAAGATAATAAGCCTTATTTTGCACTCTCAGGCAGCTGTAGCTTTCCAGGCGGCTTGTGTCTGTTCTCTTCATTTAAGAGGTCGGATTATGCAACGAGCCCTGAAAGCAGCCAGCGTGCCTCCGACTCTCACACTGCTCCACTTCCTTCAAAGTTTGTGTTTCCCAGATGCAGAGCGTACTTGTGAAGAGATTACAGCAAGGCAAAGTTCAAGACTCGTTGGCAAACACACTCAAAGAGGAACTATGCCCAATTCAAATTTCATACATGTTATTCCTGTGGTCTAGGACTGTCCAAAAATGTTAAAAACACATAAACAATTTCCCCCTAAACCCAGAAACTAGGGTGATACAACATTGTGTTGTCATCGAAAATAAAGAGTGCAACATTTGATTGGAATCGTTTTCATAGCTGGCGATATTTTCTGTTTCCCAACTGAGAACACTTCAATACAATGACACTCATTTTAGCATAAAAAGAAAACAAACATTATGTGGGAAAGAAAATCTGTATTTTACATACTTTTCTGGTATTGGCTTTGAGAGAGAGTAGCTCATGTTCACAAAATATTGATGGCCATGGAAATAAGAAATTGGACATTTTACTTCAGCTGTCATTCTGCTATAAAGTCTAAAATAAATCACTTTTATATGGGTTATATTGTGTCTTACATGTCAATAAGTAATGACTTATCTTTATTTAATTCATTCTATTTCCGCCATATGAGTTTCAATGGTGTGATATGACGTCACATACCTCAATTGTTTCTTGAAATAGCTACACAAGCGGCACAACACAACCCTCAAAGTGTGCAAGGTCATATAAGGGTGACTCTCACCGTGTCTGATAAATCACAACATTTCTATCGTGGGACAAAATGATGCCAGTTCACTTCCTTGTCAACAAAGGAAGAGGGGGAACCAGATGGAGAGCTGTTTCTGTGGACTTTAAACAGCCCGCGCAACAACAGCTCAATAAGCAATGGCACTGAAACTCTCCGACACCCAATTGTTTCCTGAGTTTCTGGGTCCGGCCTTCCGGACCGGAAACTTTTGGGCACCCCCCAGAGGTGAGTTTGTATGTTTGTGTTTACGTGTGCACGCGCTGTACTGTAAGTTAGTGTGTGTGTGTGAGAGCTAGGTGGGATTTTGACTAAGGATGCGGAAAGTACATTGGCAAAATGCCCATTGCTTTTTAAAGATTGTTCAAAAGGATGGGAAAGAAAGACACTGAGCAGTGTTGAACAATGCCACTAACAGCTGGTCATGTTGACTACAAGGATTACAGTGTGTTCACAGAGGAAAGAGAGTAGTAACCTTGACCTCTGACCCCACAAGACTCCACCAATATTACACTTTACGTGGGGTCAAGAGAGTCCAATAGGCACAGACACTGATTGTATTGACCATGGGAACACAGTTCACAATCACACTGAACCTCTAACTTCACAGCGTAGGCTAAATAGGCCATGACCTGTTTCCTGCAACCAGCAAGTAAGTAACATTAATACACTTTTTTTGGCAATATAGCTTGCGTTATCTCCACCAAGGACATTATGTTTTCTGTTTGTTTTTGGTTATATATTTGTCGCAGCAGGATAAAAAGAAACTTGGAGGAAGCGTGAAGCATGGGCCAAGGGAGAACCCATTCAGGGACCTGGCCTTGGTCAGTGCCCATCTGGTTCGTTTTGTTTCATAGTGGAATTTATTATTATGTTATTGCTATGGTTTATTGAGCAAATGTTGTATTATGAACACATTCAAAATGTCTACATACAATATAATAGGAAGAGAATATGCAGCTACTGTATTTAAACAATTGGTGGCAGGTGCCAGTTTAATTTATTCCATAAAATGAAAATGCACATGCTGCTAAGGCAACTATGTTATTTTATCTGATGAAGTCATACACTGAGATTATACATTAAAGAGGAGGAGAATATTCAAAGCAACTACCTGACTTAAAACAGTACAATAAATGCACTCCATGGGAAACATCAATAATTCTTATTTAGTTATATGACTTTTTGTAACCATATTTATGAGCAGTGCTGGTTTATAATGTTTAATTGTGTAGTGAGTGCATGAAATGAATTGCTCATGACTGCATCCAGAAAACATATCCTAAATGTAATCACACCATAGCAATTCACACAAAATTGGGTATATATAAATTATAACAACAGAAAGTAGAAGGAAATGTATATTCCAAATCACCAAGCACCAGAATAGTTACAAGAGTTTGACTACTGTATGCACAGGGGGAAATGAGAGCTGAAAGGACGAGGAAGAGGCACCTCAAACATGCTCCTCTACCACCACCCTCTGGTGAAAGTCATATACCAATACATTTTTCAAATATCAATAAAATATTTCTTAGGTTTGGAATTTTTATACTGATTTAAAAAGTTATCCTTTTTTCTGTCATATCATTTTAGTTCTTCTTTTAAACTTGTGCATCCAAATGCTTTTATCTTGAAAATCTCGAATCAGCTCTTACCCGGAAGTACCTTCATGTTATTGTGCTAACGATGTGTCATCAACACATTAGGGTGGACACAGCAAATGTTGGGTAAAATAAGAGGACAAGACCAGTGTTATATTTTATTTAGGGGCCCGTTACAGACAAGTAAGTTATATTGTCTTTGTCGACAGGCTGTCATAAAGTTAACACGACAGCAAGAGTTGAAAACGCACTCAAACTGCTAAGCTACTTTGGTTCTCCACAACTGCACTGTTAGCATCGGGCTAACTGGCTGATCCCCCGTCTACCTGACGGGACGGGAGAGAGATGTCCTGCAGCTTATTGGAGTTCTGTCGGCTCCAGGAGCTCAAAACGGTCCGGGACTACCTGTTCCAGAGCCAGAAAAACGAGCCGGTGGAGGAGAAGAATCAAACCGGTGAGTTAAACTAGGCTAACACAAGAAAGACAAGGCTAATGCAGGTCTGTAGCATGCTACAGCACATAAGTTAACTGTTAACCAAAGTGACATTAGTCCAGTTAGCTGTCTCTAGAACTAGCTAGTCGAACACTTAGCTAACCTAAGGACTGTAGCTTAATAATGTCACAGCACTGTGGCTTCAGTTCGCAAAGGGGGATTGATCTGTTTGTCTGGAACTACCTGCACTTTAATGTTTGGTTTCAGGTGATCATTATATATAGATAGAGAGATACATAGTTTTTCCTTCCCAAATTGGGCAATTATTTTGTCTCAGCAGCAGTGTTATCAAGCATTACACAGAGTAAACAATATTTAAAAGATACAATAAGATACAAATATAATAAAAGTAAGATTTAACATTGACAGCAAATGTATACAAATTCACAGTAGAAAAGACATACATCACTAGAGTATCAAAACAATTCTAAAAATAGAACCGTTCTGTAAGTGCTGTAAAAAAGGATATAACGCAATGCTTAATCTTAAATGAATTCTATTAAAAACTGCTATTTTCTAACGGCCTTACTGTAGTTATAAAGGCAAATCATTTGATGGTACGGCTATGCAAAGTGAATGATGGAGAGAGCTCCATCTGTGCTGTGCGATACCATCAGCAGGGTGCTGAAAGGGAGGAGGAGAAAAGTGTCTGCCCTTTTGGCTATGAGTCATCCCACATGAGGCACCTGAACACATCACTGCAGGATGCTCAACAAAGGAGAACACACATACACACACAGGGGCTCTAATGCCCTTTCATGTTGATGCTTTTGAACGCACAGATGGTGTCACCACCTTATTCTTGTACCGCAAGGACATTGACCAACTCACACACACTCACACTCACACACACACACACACACACACACACACACTGCATTATTAATGTCCATGGCAACAGGATTTCAGTCTGGATTTTGCAACATCACTTAGTTCCCTCACTCTTGAGTGTGATAAGGTTATATCCCTGGAGATGCTTTGTTAGTGTTCCCCTCTTGTCCTCTCTCATTTATTTGTTATAGTTTGGTACAGTTTAATTAACAAGTCTTTAGCGGTTTGACGCAACACTTTCCTACTGCCTGTGATTTCACATGCTTTTTTAATGAGACAATTAGTCCGTTTTTTATGAATTTAGGATCACTGTTATGTTTGCCCAGTTATATTACAAATCAGTATGATTTCACAAGTTAATATCCATTGTAATTTCCCTTACAGAAAATGATGTGTCCTGGGAGACCTCTGAGTGGGAGTCGGCATGGGATAGTGGGGAAAACAAAGAGGAGGAAACGACTTCTGCCACAAAGGTCTGTCATGATGTGTCTCTATTTTCACATTAGGCGATCTCCATATACTTTTTATATGCATTAGCAATTGAAAAACCTGTGTGGAAAATGAAAAAAAAAAAGTCTTGAAATATGGTTAAAATGTTTTTAAATGCGGCTGACGTGGAAAAGTTGGTGTTTGAGTTAAAGCAAAATGTGACAAAGTGGAATGCCAACAGTTTATGGGGTTATCACTCGCATCACTAGCAGATTGAAGCTACAGGTACCCTCCCACTGACTGTCCTCTTCACCCTGCAGGTGGAGGAGGAGCCCACAGAGCAGAGGGCCCCCTGGCTGCAGGACTGTGTCGTGTCCCTGTCGCCCTGCTCCGACCTGCTGGTAGTGGCCCGCGAACAGAAGGCTGTCTTTCTCTCAGGTCAGATATTCAAACACTCACTCATCTCTTAGCACACAGAGGAGTTATACATTGCTGTTAATGATTATTCATTGTTACAGCTAAGTGGCGTACAGATGATGGCGGCAGAGAGGAGATGACCCTGGCTGTGTCCTGGACTGGAACACTCAGCACTGATGAAGGGTAAGGGTCACATTTGAGATTGGAAAATGTAAGTATATTAGATGACAACAGGAAGGAAAATGACACGGACACTACTAAGGATGAAGAAAGTCACAGTGAAAATTGATAGTTGTTTGACAGTGGGGAAACAAATAAACATGAGCAAAAGGAACAGTTATTCTAAGTTCTTGAGAGAGAGAGCTGTACAGTAAACATTTTCTACTTTGTGTATGTTTTCTCACTACAGAGAGTGTGTGAGCAGCTCCATCTGCATACCGTTGGCAAGCCAGAAGCGGTAAGAATTACTAAAAAAGGGAATAGAGAGAAATGCAAAATGCTTTCTGTGTACATGACGATGTGTGTATGTGTGTGTAGGAGCTCCACAGGGCGGCCTGATTGGACATGTGTGGTCGTGGGTTTCACTTCTGGCTACGTCCGCTTCTACACAGAGGTACCTCCCCTTGGACTACAACGCTTCGTTAGCCTATGCAACAATGGCATTCAGCAGGCATTTATTTTTAAATCATTCAATAAATACTCAGGAATGTCAGTATTAAATGTAAGTCCTTTCTGGTCAGAATGGCGTTCTCCTCCTGGCCCAGCTGCTACATGAGGACCCTGTGTTGAGGCTCAAGTGTCGCACGTATGAGATCCCTCGTCATCCTGGAGTGACTGAGCAGGTAACGCACACACCGAAGACTCCTACCACAACTCTGTCTGACAATAATTTTATCTAGGAAAATACACTTGTGTTGTATTGCCGAAAACAAGATGGTTTATGGAATTAAATGTATATAGTACCGTTCTAATCTTCTAAACACTCCAGAGTTTTTTTTATTACACTCACTGACACATTGACTGATCATTATCAAATGATATGATGATTCACACACTCTCACACACCATGATAGCCACAAACTCAAGCCAGCAGCTACGGAAAACAGCACACAGTCTCTGCTGGTTGCCCAGCAACATCACCAGGGCTGCAGTCGAATTGTCCAAAAATCAGCCCCTATCGTCTATTCCTATCCACTATTCCTTGACCTCTGTGTGAAACGTCACGGGGTTAAGGAATAGTGGATAGGAGAATTCAAAAGGATTTAGGAGAAGAGACTGCGGTGCTTTGAGAATCCGACTGCTCTTTCACTATCGACGTGTTTATGATGCGCCAGCGGACGTCATAAATGTGCGTCAGCTGTGGGGAAACTACAGTTTTCTATACAGCGGACTACATGGATGTATAATAAGAATGGCGGACTACTGTAAACTCATCTAGATACTCTGCACCGTGCTCTGATGAGGTTGTTTTATGCTTTATGAACGTGGACAACAGAGAAACATAAATTCTTCATGACCAAGGTTGGAATTTAAATAAAAAAGTAAAGTGAAACTTATGCTGTCACCCTCTCCCTCCGGTCCACACATATTAATCCACATGAATCCCAATACGTATGACTGTATGAAAAGATCTTAAAATAAATACAAATGTATTTATTATAAACGTGCTAGTCCTTAACATCTATCACTGTGTATATCACCATTAAAACATCTTTTAAAAGTTTAAGAAACCCTACACAGCTGACTGAGCTGAGTAAACACTATGAAATGTTGACTTTATTTGATCATTTCAGTAAAAAAGTAACATTCATATTTCTCCTTTTGATTATTATAGTGTTGAACGTTCAAAACAAAGCACTTTGGCAAGTTACCACATAAGTTGTAAAAATGCTTAATAAGTACCGTAACTTTCATGATACAAATTTCTCGGTCATAATCGGTTGTTTCCGTGAACGGCCGAATGTTGTGTGACGACGAATGTTGTGTGACGACAAATGCTGCGGCCACAAGGCATTGTGGGGCAGCATTTTCTCCTTTCCTTTCGTAAAGGAAGGTCCAGTGTTTCCTAAGCTAAAGGAGGTTACAAAGGAAGTTTCAAACCTCCTTTCCTATCATCTAGAGAATTCCAAAGGCTCTTATCATGGCTGCCACTGAGGGACCTCCGGGTCATTTCACTCCGTTAGGAAGGTTCCTAAGCTAAACTGACAATTCCACTGCAGCCCAGGACTCAGATTTTGATTCATAAAAATAATCCGGCATGTAACCCCATAAGAAAACGTACTTCTTGTTCCTTAACTTTTGTCCGTATCCCGCTATGATATGTGGCAGATATTTGATAATTGTGTATTTTCTTTCTGTCGCAGCATGAAGAGTTAAGCATCCTGTACCCCGCTTCTATGGTCACCATCGACGGCTTCAGCCTCTTCCAGTCTCTGCGGGCCTGCAAGAACCAGGTGGCAAGAGGTACTGCTGCTTATGTGAGCGTGTGTGAGCGTGTGTGAGTGTGTGTGTGTGTGTATGTGTGCATCCAACTAACTGGCTTGTGTGTTTATAGTGTAGGATAAGAGTCATAGGGTTTTAGTGTCTAGCGAACAAACTTGACGATTTTTTTAAAGTGTTTTAGTGTGCTAACTATGGATGCGTTCTTCTCTTGCTGGCTGTTTGGATAGTGTTTGCCTCAATGCATTCAGGTACTAAGGAAAAAAACACAAAACTACAACTGCCCCACTCATACCCCCTTTTAGATTAGCAGCCATGCTTTAGCGGGTTTTCTCTGAGCATCTAGTCGTGCCGTGTGTGTGTGTGTGTGCGTCTTCCATTTAATTTGACCAAATTTGATTCCTGTCAATATTAATGTACCTGTTTTAAATGTAACTTAATTTCTAGACATGACTGCTAACTATAGATTATAAAACCCTTGTCAAACATTTGGTGTTTCAATGACAAGCTGTGTTTTTTTTATCCAACCAGCGGCAGCAGCAGGCAGTGATGTGATCCAGCCCCCTCCCCTGGCCTATAAGAAGTGGGGTCTGCAGGACATGGACACCATTGTGGACCACTGTAGTGTGGGTAGGAAATAACTTTTAATGATCACTTATAATATACTGATTGGTGTTTTTGGCTGACCTTGTTTTGAATCACAGGGTAAAAGTGATTAGAGGTCAATTTGAATTACACTTTAATAATATGTTGACAACAATCAGAATCTGGTTTAAATATTTGATTTAAAATAAGATTAAAGAACGATGACAGGAAACCCTGTAAGCACTTATTCAATGTTTTCCCCACATCCCTGTTCTCCTCCATCTCTCCTGCTGTTAGGCGTGATGACGCTGTGTGTGTTTGACCAGATGAAGAACGCTTCTATCCTCGGGGGGTTTCATGCTTCAGTCAAGGGAAACCCCCCCGCTATGAGCCAGTATGTCACTGTGGGAGGTGGGCCATACACGGGCTTCTACTATGCTGTAGAGGTGAGTGAGAGAGAGAAGGAGCAGGCCGTTTGTTTTCCAATGAGGATTACAAATAAGGCAACCTAACTGTATAACTGGATATTCAAGAGACAGGGCCAGACATAAGAGTGCATTTAGGGAGAGTAAACTCAGCTGTTGGTGTCTTTCTGTTTGTCTTCAGGGAAGCTCCCAGCCTCTCCTCTCTCACGTGGCTCTGGCTGTGGCCAGTAAACTCACCTCAGCTCTCTTCAGTGCTGCAAGGTACTGGTGTGTGTGTGTGTGTGTGTGTGTGTGTGTGTGTGTGTGTGTGTGTGTGTGTGTGTGTGTGTGTGTGTGTGTGTGTGTGTGTGTGTGTGTGTGTGTGTGTGTGTGTGTGGTGTGTGTGTGTGTGTGTGTGTGTGTGGTGTGTGTGTGTGTGTGTGTGTGTGTGTGTGTGTGTGGTGTGTGTGTGTGTGTGTGTGTGTGTGTGTGTGTGTGTGTGTTGTGTGTGTAGTGTGTGTGTGTGTGTGTGTGTGTGTGTGTGTGTGTGCTGTGTGTGTGATGTGTGTGTGTGTGTGTGTGTGTGTGTGTGTGTGTGTGTGTGTGTGTGTGTGTGTGTGTGTGTGTGTGTGTGTGTGTGTGTGTGTGTGTGTGTGTGTGTGTGTGTGTGTGTGTGTGTGTGTGTGTGTGTGTGTGTGTGTGTGTGTGTGTGTGTGTGTGTGTGTGTGTGTGTGTGTGTGTGTGTGTGTGTGTGTGATAAGAAAACCTTTGAAAAATATGCAAATTTAGAACATCATTATTTTTAAAAAAAACATACAAACTAATAATACGGAACAAACTGGACTAAACTAATTTGTGTAGTGCATGACTTTAAAGATAAATAGGGTTGTCCAATGTTTCCTTGTGCCAGTGTGAGCATGTATTTCCTGTCTCATACACACTTGAAGAATGAATGCAGCACTGTTGTTAGCTAAGTTCTGCTCCAACAGCCCAATCAGTACTGTGATATATAGCCTGCTCTCTGCTCAATGCTGCTTAATACAGGATGTTGGTTTGCTTCTATCCTCCCCTGAGTCTCCTCTCATTCTCTTTCTGGTGTATCTCAACTGCCTGTCAGTCGCCAAATCTCCTGTATTACTTTTTCCAACTTTCTAGTCTTCCTTTATCCATTTTTCCCTCACAGATTCATCATCTAATTAGTCTCTTGCTAACCTTCTTTGTGTGTGTTTCATTATTTCCTCCCAGTGGATGGTTGGGTTGGAACAAGCATAAGAATGAAGAGGAAGTTCAGAAACAGAAGCCGAAGGTGGAGCCTGCTACGCCCTTGACCATCAGGTACCAGTCATGATATCTCAACACAAAGGCCCGATTGCCCCTGCTCTTGAAGCATGTTCATGAACCTTCATCGTTCTTTCTCTTAAATCCTCTTCCACTCAGATTTGGTCTCCCAGACTCCCGTCGTCATGGCGAGTCCATCTGTCTGTCCCCCTGCAACACGCTGGCCGGAGTGACGGATGACTTTGGTCGGGTCACGCTGCTGGACTTGGCCAGGGGCGTGGCCATCCGCATGTGGAAAGGTGAGGAGAAAGAAGAGAAAGATGACCAAGGACTGAGAAGGGAACTATTAAGAGGTTTTGAAGTTGAACTCGTGATGCACACAAATATTGGCGCTTCATTGGTTATGGCAGATTTATCGGCATTGGACAGAAATGAACACATTTTCTCCAATAAGATGCACAAGATGAAAAAGGTCAAATGTGCTGTGTTTGTGCCGACTGTGTGCCTTAGTGACAGCCTCATCCAAGCTTGTTAAAGTAAGACATTTCTAGTTTTTGTTTAAAGATGTAACATCATGTAACATGTTACGTTAGTTCAAGTAATTTCCCTATTACACCTAATTGTCGTGTACCTTTTGGTAAAACATTATTCATTATGTCTGCATCTACCAATAAGCCATCACTATGATAGTTGGCATAATAACATGGTTATTCCACTAAAGAAGATTATTTATGTTCTCTCCATGAGGTGAAAGAAATGTGTACAAATGTCTGTATTGGCAATACAGACATTTACAGAAATGTTACGTTTCTCTCAGTGGATTTTACAGTTTGTACAAAATATGAATACGATGCCCAAAATATTGTCATATCCAAAATTGGCAAAATTAAAATACATTAACGGAGTCTGTTCCTACTTTATAATCAATTATGATGCTGTGCATTTAATAGAAACATGGATGTGTCCCTGAAATGTAAATGTGACCATTCATTGGTTTAACTTCCTGCAGGTTACAGAGATGCTCAGCTGGGATGGCTGCAGGTTCCAGAGGAGCGAGTCGATCGAGACTTATCCCCCTCTGCCTCCCACCCCAGACGCCATGCTTTGTTCCTGGTCATCTACGCGCCGCGCAGAGGGATCCTGGAGGTGTGGGGGATGCAGCACGGACCCCGAGTCGGAGCCTTCACTGTGGGCAAACACTGCAGGTACAAACATGCACACAAGCAAATCAGATGTGTCTTAGCCTAAAAGCATCACAAACAAGCATATCGCAAAAGCACTTGCACTGTAAAACAAATGTGAAATGTAAATGATTCTCTCATTCATGTGTTTGCACACTTTCAGGTTGCTGTATGCTGGCTACCGTCTGATGGGGGTGAACAGTGTGACCAGTAAGGGCTGGCAGCTCCACACACAGCAGGTGTGTCTGCTGGATCCCATCACAGGAGCTCTGAGGACCGTCAACATCCCCTTCCACCTGGCCCTCAGGTTGGTACACGCAGGAAAACACACATACGTTCACTTTAAATAAACAGTAGAAGGCAATTTAAAGGCATAGTGAACAACCTCTGAAGCACACTAGTCAATATGTCAGACATAGTGCATGCAAAAACCAAATGGTAAAATACACATATTTCTTATTTTTGTACATATTTCGCTCCCTAAATTCGGCAAAACCCTTATTTGGATAATGCTAATGAATGTTAAGGCGATGGAATTTTTAATAACTGGACTGTAATCATTTACGTTTGCACGGTCTTCAACCACAACTACAAAAGCCGTCATACTCTTTCAAAACGCTTGCCTTCAATCATGGATTTTTAGGCTGTGATACCTTGTTCCTAGTCTACAAGCATTTTTAAGACACCCTTTTAATGAGTGCTGCACGGAATCCATTCAAACCCTATCTTTGTCCATTTCAGTGACAAGAAGAGTGAGCGAGCCAAAGATATGCACCTGTTAAAGAAACTGACTACTCTCCTCAGGAGCAGAGAGGTGGAGCCCGGTAAGAGATCCTCGAGTGAGATCAGAATGGAGGTTTAGATATAATTCTATAAACTGAGATCCAAAATCCATCCGTTTCTAAGTCCTACTCGTCTTTCAGATATATTGGAGAGCGAAGCCAAAAGTGCGCTGCTGGACATCAAACATCCCGCCATTAAAAAGCAGGTATAAACAAATATAAAATACTGATTGCTTCAGACACTAATAGAGAGGCCTATTTTTTTGTGGTCACAGTTGTATTTCTAATTGCAGTCTTTGCACTTTCCTTTTAGGCTTTGGAGTCACTACTGTCCAATAAGAATGCTCCTGTCTCTTGTCTTGCTAACATCACATCCGCCTTATATGACACTCTAAAGCAACAAGGTAGTGATTCAGTTTATATTTAAGAAAATATATATTGTTTTGATATATCTAAGATGTAATAATAAAAGAGTCCTTGACTGGTTTCCAAAACATGTGCCCAGCTTAATGGCTGAAATGTGAACTAGTGTAAATGTGAAGCATCATGGAAATGGAAATGAATGTCTGTGTTGTTGTGTATGTGTGCATGACAGACCCAGATGAAGTGGATCCAGCTCTACAGCAGCTCTGCTCCTCTCAGCTGAAACTGCTTCAGCTCTACTCTGACATCCAGCAGCTGCACTCTGCTGCAGACACAGAGACCTGCCCTGAAGATGTGAGCGGACACACCTACAGAAAGCTTGTTCATAGTACTCGCATAAACAACCAATTGTAAAACAACATAACATATGCTAACATGGGTTGGGATAAAAACATTATAAAAGATTGTATATTTTTAAAATAGTAAAAGTAATAATAAACTATAATATAGGTCCAAAGATGGTGAACCATAAAACAACAACTATTTCAAAAAACATGGTGCACAGAAGGATGTAGAAACAGGTATTGTGGTCAAACTTAGAGATCGACAATTTGAAGAAACAAATGTGTTTTGCATGCTTAAAGGTGGGGTAGGTAAGTTTGAGAAACTGGCTCGAGATACACTTTTTGTTATATTCCATGGAATGCTCTTAACATCCCGATAGCAATGAATATCTTAAGTGCTTTGACAAAAAATCCATTAAAAAAATGTCATCTGTGGAAGCCGTAATACTGTAAAAAGCACGACCAATCATTTTAGCCGGGCCGGCTAAAATAACTGGATGGCCTGCCTGCCTGTCAGCCTTCCATCGGGGCACAAACTTATCTCGTGCCCTCATTGGTCATGTGTGCGTTCGTGTGTGTTGGAGGAGGGGCTCTATAAGGAAGTGGCAGATTTTCTCCGGTTGTGTATTTTCAAATTCTAGCGATCTCGAGCCGGTTTCTCAAATGTACCTACCCCACCTTTAATGACTTAACTAAATCAATAATTGATTCGTCAACCAAATTGTTCGAGTATTAGTCGTCTAGGAATTGTTTAGGTCTAGGAAACCTCTTGAAAGAACAGGCTCACAATGTTGCTATTTTTGTAATATTTATCCTTATTTCATGCAGCGGGACCTTATGATCTATCATCACCTTATTTATGATTGTTTGCTTGTTTCTTCCTCACTTAAACGGATGTACACTAAATAATACCGATGTGGTCCCCCCCCAGGAGGAGTCTCTGGAAGGCATCGAGGAGGAGCTGTCCCGTGTTGGTCCTACCTTACAACGCTACGCTCAGCTCACTACCAGACCCAGTGTGTCCTTCGCCCAGGACTCGCCCAACTCCCTCCTGCCCGCCCAGGCCTTCCTCTCCCAGATGGAGTGCACCGAGGGAGAGGAGCTGAGGGTAATCCGCGGCTCTGAAACCCAATGGAATCAGCTAGGTAGGGTAACATGACACTAAGATGTTTAAGTGTTTGTCTAATACCAGAGAAATATTCAAAACAAGTTTTATGGAGGAGAACAGAAATGCAATGTTTTCAACCCTTTGATGAACAGAAATCTCAGTGACTTCAGACATCTTGAGTACACTCCATGAATCCAGACTGAGGACTTTAATCGTGTGTTTCCTTCACAGGGAACTTTATGTTCTGGGGTTGTCTGTGTGGAAAGAGCCCACTCCATCAAATGTGTGACACACTGCAGCAGGCAGGCATCAGTCCTCAGCAGCTCCTGGTAAGATGGATGAAGAGGCTGATAAATAGGATAATGATATGTATTTGTTCAAATGTAAAATGATAATGTGGCGGTTCCTTTTCGAAGTCTAATCTAAATTGTTTCCATCATATGTCAATAACCTAAGAACAGTTGAAAAAAAAGGTTTTGCCAGGTTAATAGTTTTTACGTTTCTTAAAAAAAAGAACCTTATGTTAAAATGGTGGGAACATAACTTTCTTTTTTTTTAAACGGTGAATAGATAATTTTTTGCAGGATCATGTTTGTTGTTGTAATACTAATTTCCACCACAGGAGGTTGAATTGCACCACCATAACATGTACTGAATGGAGCTAAAAGCTTTCATAGGAGTTATTCCAGGCAAAAGAGAGACATAATAATGTAATATAACATACTATTTATAAAATATATAGGAATAACTGTTGTTTAGAGTGCAAGGAGACATTAAACCTCACCTATTTAGAACATGGGGTAATGGTGCACTTCAACGTTGTGTGGCCAGAATAAATATAACGACAACAAACACTTAAAAATGATCCTGACATAAATGTTTTCCACCTGTTCTGAAGGAGAGAAAGCAATATAGATCCGGCTTAGATAATGGTCATCAGGTAGTTTTTTCTTTTTGTAGAATGTTTCCCATAGCCCTAACAACTGCCATGTGAAAAATGCGCATTACAGCAGTCTTTAGGACATTCCTCTTTCTTTCAGTCCCTGTTGCTGAGTGTGTGGTTGCAAAGAGAGAAGGAGGTGCTACAGAAACCAGAAGAAACTGTCAAAAATCTACACACACTACTCATCGCCCTTAGCAACATGAAAGGTATGTGCATGTCTCCAGAGTGTGCTGACATGTTTGCTTGAATATCTGTCAAGTCAAACCAATAAAAAAGGAGAAGAGAGTCACCATTTCTTCTTCTCTCTCTTTTCTCAATAGGTGCAGTTGAGGATTCCTGGGACCCCCAGTCTATCTCTCCCTGGTGGCAGCAGGTCCGCACTACATGCATCCAGTCCCACAACGCTGCTGCTGCTCTGCTGGCTGCTTTTGTTGCTCACCGCGCTACCAAAGCTAGCATCACAAGCCGGGCTGACAGCAAGGTAGGGAAGTCTCATGCACACACACAGATACACATACACACATAGAAATACAGATTTGCAACACAAACAGCACTATGACTTCATTTCTTTTGGGTCTAATATTGACACTTAAACCATACTTCCTGACTTCCTGCTTGTTTTATGTGTTTGTGTGTGACAGTTTCAGTCAGAGTGGGAGGCAGTGTCCCTTGAGCTGGAGCAGTGGCTGGTGTGTGTTCGCCAGCTGGAGGATGTGTTGGTGCTGCAGACTCTGCTATTGGTGCCTCCTCCTCAGGGCGCAACAGGGGGCGCTGCACCACAGTGCTCCATCAAAACGCTGCTGGAGGGAGGCACAGGTAGACCATAAGGAAGTTCCTCAGGGACATTAACAGGCATAAAGCATTATTCCTACATGCTTCTTTTTTTATGTTACCTTATTATGAAGTATTTTCATTCTTTCTTATACTCATACTTCTTTCAGTACTCATATTCTGGTTTTTAGTTCATAACACAGATCGTCTTATATATATTTTTTAATCCCGTTCTTTTCATCTATCTAATTAATGAATTAATCTAATTATCTATATAGGTGGCATTGCCGACAGTATCTCCAAGTGGGTGTTTAGGCACAACTTGGCCCCTGAGCGATTGAAGGAGATTCTCCAAAAGAAAGAAGAGGCAGATGAAAAACTCGAGCAGAAGTCCGGTGAAGGAAAGGAGCCGGAGGAGGGGAATCAAGAGGACACAGACAGAACAGCAGGTCAGAACTTAGGACTGAATTAAGATCTCATAGCAAATCTTGGCTTCTGATAAAAAATAGTTTGAATACAGACACATTGAGATGAATTCATTATGTGTTTTTCAGAGCTGCTAGTGGCAGTTTGCCAGCGCTTCCCTCACTCCCTGTCTCCTGACCTGCTCTCCGCCCACTGCTGCTGGGAATATGTGGTGCAGTGGAACAAAGACCCCGAGGTACACATTCACACATGCACATAAGTCTTCCTGTTTATTAAATCGTATAGATTTGAGCTTATTTCTATTGTCCTCAATTTACCTAATTATATATTAACTTGATTCTTTCAATTCCATATTCCAAATTCCAGTACAAAATTAAATGAGCTAATTCCAATACCAGGTTCTAATTCCAATTCCAGGTTCCATATTCCAAATTCCATTTCCAGGTTCTAATTCAAAATTCCAATTCCACATTCTAGATTCCAATTCTAAATTTGACTATAAATTAAAATTCCCATTCAATATTTAAATTCCAATAAAAAAAATTCTAGGTTCCAATTCCAAATCCCAATTCCACTTCCAAAGTTTCGATTCCAAATCCCAATTCCAGGTTGTCATTCCACATTTGAAATTCCAAATCTGAATTCAGGGTTCCAATTCCACATTCCAATTCAAGGTTCCAAATCCCAATTCCACTTCCAATTCCACTTGCAATTCATTTTACCGAAAGCAGCTACCGTTTTTAAACTATAGTTAGAAATGTAAGAGGTTTATCTCTCATTCAGAACAATGGAAAGGCTCTCCTTTCACAGCACATCTCCATGGTCATCACAGGTGTTTGATAACGTTGTCACCATGGTAACCTTTGATCTCTGGGCTTACACACACAGGTGTTTGATAACATTCATTCACTACTACTTACATTTAATATTGAACTCCTTCAGCCTACTTTCAGCTACAGAAACCATTCAACTATTAAATGATTCAGCTATTTCAGGACATTGAGGCTATACATTTAGTTGTTTATACCTTTTTTTAAACCTTTTCTTTTAAATATTAAGCTTCTTCACTATTTGTCCTACTCTTCCAGTTTAACATTTCACTTTCAAGTCATTGCAATGCATTTGAGCTGTAACAATTTGATTCAAATCATTTCACTTTTCTGCATTTCTCCGCTAAGTTCAGCAACACACTTACTTGGTCTCTGTAGCTAACAGCAGACAGAGACCATTCAACTAATAACATATTCAGCTTTTTCTGCATTTTCAGCCAAATTCAGCAACTAATGTACACAGTTTACAGCATTCACACGCATTTTCTAGTTTGTTCTTAAGCTTGAAAAGTGATCTGTAAAGAAAACTATTATGAATGTAATGACTAAATCTGGACTGACTCCTGATTCTCTTCGTAGGAGGGCCAATATTTATGGTGTGCTGTGGAACATTTGAAGCTGGTCTCCAGTCCACATATCCAGCTAGGTGAGAGGCTTTTCTTTACCAATCATTTAATATAATAGTTTTTCAAATCTATCTAATAATATGTCAAATCCATTAGGTAAAGGGTGAACTGCTCTTTAGGTATGCATTAAATAACAACTCAAATATATCCTCAGAGTGAAAATAATACAGCAGCAGAATATATCAATGTCCCCTCAAATCAGTACCTTCTGAAAGTGACGGTCTCTACTGTGTCGTTGGATTTTCCTCTCAGGTATTTCTGCGATGATGTGGAGCACGTTCATTGTGAAGCGCTTCTCAGCAGCAGCCTACCTCATGGAGAAGGTAAGTCACACACATACGTATGCATATGTGTTTTCGAGTCTGAGAGGCACTAAATGAGATGTTCACACTTCTTGTTCCTAGGTGGGGAAAGCACCCAAAGATCGCTTATGTCGACGGGTAAGTACATTTGAATTGAAGTTATTTCTGATTGTATAATTATGTTATTAGGATGCCATATTAAGGACATGTATTTGTTTGTGCAGGACGTCGGGATGGGAGACAAAGCCGTGACTTCTTTCCTGGGCTGCTGTGTGCAGCTGCTGCAGATCCTCATGGAGGTGACTGGAGTATTGGTTAAAAATACGAGCCCTTTGTCTTTTATAGATTACCCTGTAAGTAAAGACATTCCTGTAAAAAGCATGGAGAAACCACTAGCCCCACTAACCACACCTGTACTTGATACACATGTGATGTAGCATGCTGCTTGCAATTAGAATTGGTGTCTGATATGGTTTCTTCACAAAATAGTTCAACCACCTTGTTAAAAAAATCAAAAGTAAAGGAGAGACACTACAGGTCAGTAGGGTAAAACAGTATATCTGATATCACCTTGAAACTTCCCTCAGTTTATTTCTATCTGTATTACTGATGTTTCTTTTCAATAGCCTAACATTGGACTTGTTATAGAAACAAAATATCCCAAACTTAATAAATGGTGCCTGTAGTGACCCACCTTCAATCAACTGCAGGTTACGAGTTTCCACATCACACCACGAGTCAGTATGCAACTTACTCGTGATTGGCTTGCATGTCACAAATCCTGCTCGTATTAAACTCACTTTCATGAAGCTAAGAGCAGCCTTCAGCAGATGAAATGGAAAAATGGCCTTCGAGTGTCAAACAGCAGGATCCTGCTCAGTGAATCTCAAACCCAACAGTGCCAGGAAAATGAGAAAAGCTCACTTTTTGAGGGCTTTACATTTGTGCATGTGTGTATTCTGCACTTTAAATATGTGGTAACAATGTTAATTAACCATATGTTGTTTACTAACCCACACGCCTTTCTCATCATCATCATCTCCTCTGCTGCGTTTCCCCGCAGGCGGACTCTGCTGTGGAGGAGGTCTCGGCCCCGGAGCTGTCCATGGAGGAGGCGTGGTGCGGGGCAGAGGGCCCGGCGTCTCTGGCTGAGATGGCCCTGGAGCAGAGGGGCGTCCACTACCCTCTGGTGCAGCACCACTGCCTGGTCGCCTCCCTGCTACATGCTGCTATGACCTTTAGCCTGAAGGTCAAACCTCTCAGCCTGTTTGACAGCAAGGTGAGGAGACTGCTGACACACATATACTCATGATTAGAGAAGGGAATCCTTTAGAGATACACACATTTACATTTCGTCTAACGATAGTCAGACCGGAAAGATCCGATTCATGTATTTTTTTCCTTTCTAAGAACTCAAATTGACAGCATACAGAAACTGTTTTCCATATAACAGTAATGAGTTAAACTAACAGTAATTACTTTATTAACTAATTTAAACTTTTTATTGTGTCAGAAAACAAGGTAAATTAAGGTTTTAAACGTAGGTTTCTTTTTTTGTACCATGGCACCCCTTATTTGGGCTATTGAATGTTTACACTTATACAATAAAAAAGTAATTGAGTCACCAGACCACTTTGAATTCAATACTTAGTTTAATATTGTATTCTTTTTAAGATTGTGATCCTAGCATTAGTTAGGTGTCATTTGTTATCTTTGCTACCTGTTATAACCAAAGGGAAATATTATAAAGAACACTCTCCATTGGTTGTTATTACAAAAACTAAACCCTATTGTATTGAGTTATTTGTGCACCAACATGTCTGTCTGCTTTCTCAGGGCAAGAATGCTTTCTTCAGAGATCTGACCACCATCCAGCTGATGCCCAGCGGAGACATGGACCCCGGCCTGGTGTCAATACGACAAGAGGTGAGAGCTGGGTCAACAGAAAAAGAAGATCTTAAAACAAAGGATTTTTCCTCATCTGCTTCCGTCTCTTCTTCCCTCTCCGTACCCGTCCTCTTATCTACGTTTCCCTCCTTCCTCCTGTGTTCAGTTCCTCCTCCGGGTGCTGACGGCCTGGGTGCAGGCTATCAACGATCCGTCCATCTCAGCCTCCGGCAACACGTCCCCCTTTCCCCCCTCGAATGGCCCCAAGGCTGACTGGTGGCCCTCGCTGTGTCTGGAGCTGGGCTCCCTGCTGCAGGTCAACCCCGACATCCTGAGGAGACACCTGGTCTGTGAGCTCTACAGCCAGGGCCTGGACCCCCGCGCTGAGGAGGCAAGGGAACATGTGCTTTCCTTTGTGGCAGGCACACACTAACAACAAACTATTCTCCTGACCACAGGGCTTGATTCAGTCCAGTGTCCTGCTCTGACTTCTCTTAATCCCCCCCCCCCCCAGGTGATGCTGGAGGTGGAGGATAAGGACGTGCTGGGCTCCCAGCTGCTGGTGCTGACGGGACAGAGGCTGAGCTACTGTCTGCTCCACAGCCAGAGTCAGACGCAGTCCGCCATGGAGCTGCTGGCCCGCCTGCCCCCCACCCTTTGCACATGGATCAAGGCGATGGTGAGGCACCAGACAATGTCATCTTATACACTGAGGACATTTCTGACTGGACACTGAACCACAAATCCTCAAATCAACCTTACTGTCTGCAGCGACAGAGCTACAGAAGCTAACAGACTACTGACATTAGTGAAACAAATAAAAGAATTCAGTGTTCTCACTCAACAGGATTTCTTTTCATTTTCCTTTTTAACCCTTGTGCATCCTATTTCTTTTTTTAATTGCTCTGACATCCATTAAAGGTCTAAAGTGTATATTTGTATTATTTTCGATTATCACCAAGTCAAATATTTTATATATGATCCTGAAAATCACTTGCAAATATTCATTTATTTTAGAATGCGAACCCTTTAAATAGCAGTTTCTTTACACAATGCCACTGTTAATGTGTTATGGGAAACACAAAGAGTTTTGTCCACTGATAGTATTTTCCCTGATTGGAACACACACCATGTTGCCCTTATGGTCTTGCTGCCTGTTTACCAGCGTAATATTGATAACATGTTGTTTTGTCCTGCAGGACCCCAGTGAGCTGCGCTGCCCCCTCGTCCCCCTGTCCCAGACCAGCAGGCTGGTGGGCCGGCTGGTTGAAATCCTGCCGGAGAACCACGCCCAGTACAGCCTGGCCCTGCACCTGCTGGAGGCTGTGGAGGCCCTCTCTGCTGAGGGCTGACCCCGAGAGGTGGAGGGCAGCACCTTCAAAGGCAGTGTCAGTGAGGGCAGGTGGAGAGAAGGAAATTAAGAAATAAAACAAGGTCTGTACCAATTTAGGGTAATGAGAAAATATGATTAACAGCCTTCTGAACCTCTTTGTCATGGAGATTTTGTGTTTCGTCACTCAGCTCATGTTTATAAGATATATTTGTTCTCACAACTTAATTGAAGAAAGATTAAGAGTGCATATTATAGCCTTTTAACCTTTTTTTTAATCCATCATATTTTCCGCGCATGTAACATGAATTGTATTGTGTTATTGAAGATTATTGTCTGAAAAATAAGTTGAAGGAATGGTTATTAATGGACAGGGCATGTTTGTCTGAGGAACTTTAGAGATCACATGTCAGTGTTGGTATCCTAACTGTGTGCCATATCAGAGTTCAGTTCTCCTTCTTCCTTTCTCCCTCCCATGGACAAGAGATGTATCATAAAGAAATATGGACCTTATTTTTTATTTATATATGCAGACAGTACTGTACTATCTGTGCCTGTTTGTCTCCTATTCTGTAGTCTGTGTCATTGCAGAATAAAGAGCTTTCTAATGCAGTGTCATGAGCCGATCATTTCATTACTCTCATATCATGTCTAGAGATAAAACTCCATTTATTTATCATTGAGACTTTTCTTCCATACACCATTATTGAAAGTGTTGTCACATAGTGACCCTCATCGTAATGATTCCTTTCCCATTTATTTACACATGTAAAAAAAAAAAACTGAATAGCATCCCTTCTACAGCGAAAATAAATGTAAATATCTTCCAATTCCCATCTGTACATAACAGTAAACATTTCTCATGCTTATTGATTTGTGGTACAAGAACAAAGCTCATTCACGGCCAGACGAGGGACCAAGGCTGTCATTTTGGTTTTAGAGTTCTCAACCTGCTGCTCTGGAACAAATGTAAGTGCATAAAGCAGTGAAGCCTGAAACAGTGATCTCATGCGATGTTCAGGCCATTCCATCGCAATGCCAGTCCTGTGTCTTCGCATAACTGACAGCAGACAGAAAAGCAGAGTGATGCAGATTTGGAGTCAGTTTTCTCTGCCGATTGTTAGACCTTGTCTAACGAGGAACTTCACCCGAAGCGGGAAAACACAACAGTCGATGGGATGTTTGCTGGTCGTCGTGCTGACAGGCCTGTCAGTGAGCCTGTGAGACGGCGCTCTGGCAGCGCGGGCACAGGCAGTCTGCTGAGTCGGCGGTGTATCGACGGCATCGCGGGCAGCGGGCGGCAGAGGTGGGCACCGCGGCTATTTTGTAGGCACTGTCCTCTCGGATAACACCACCTGAGAGGACACACACACAGCATCAGAAAAGGCATAGCTTATCACATGTTGTACACAATGTTGTAGATCTTATCCACTATGGAGTGTATCAAATGTTGTAAAAAGTCAACATTTTGTTCATAATAAAAATGCATTTAAAAACAAGTCCTAGTACCATTCAATAAAAAAAGAATTGTAGTATGGTATTTCATTAAATATTCATTTAAAAAAGAAAACATTGTATACTGTAGTATTTCACAAATGTTTCATTAAAAAAAGCCTTCAGAAAAATCGTATGCCATTATATTTCATCAAAAGGTAATTGTCTTGTATGCCATATCGCTATAATTACATACATTTAAAAAGTAAAATTATAGAATATAATTTTTTTTAAAGTCACAGTGAAGTGTATAGTCTAAGCGGACGTTTGAACAGCATGTAAAGAAATTCCCTCAAAGAATATTTCCCATTCATAATAAATTAAAATAACATTATGCCTCCAGCTACCTCTGTCACGAGTGCAGAACAAAAACCTGCTGTTGGTTTCAATCTGATCCAAAAGGATCCAGCTGCATGGAACGTGTAAAACCTGTGTGCACATTAAATCATCCGCTCAGTGTGGATATCCTCACCCTCCAGGTTGATGAGGAAGGTGCCGCTGCTCAGCAGGGCGTCTGAGGGCAGGTCCCGGGGCAGCACGCTGCACAGGTTGACCCGCGCCACCATCATCAGCTCCGCCAGCTGGGAGGAGGTGGAGCTGGGATGCTCTTGCAGGGACTGGGGGTGAAGAGGAGGACTTTGAATTTATACTATCCCTTAAAAATAGACTGATTATATACATGGAAGAAATTGGCTTGCTAACAACATTTCACTGACCTCCATGAGTTCAAACAGCAGACCGGGCTCTACAGCGATGTTGAGGTCGTACAGAGCTGCGTTTTTGCCCGGAATGGAAGACAGGAAGGAGTCTCTGATGGCACACGCCCCTTCCACCGCCTCCTCCAATCCTGGGCGGCGCCACACTGAGCTGCTTTTGATCCAACCGCTCTTAAATAATGTCTCTCCTTCTGCAGAAACAAATGTGGTTGAATGAAGACTCTTGTTAGCAAGCAAACACGTAATATACTGTGTGGTTGTGATTGGCACATACCGTCATGTCCTGGTGCGTGCAGATAGGCCTCCTCAGCCAGGTGGGGCAGGATGGGAGCGATGGATCGGGTCACTCCGTCCAGAATCTCCTCTAAGACAGTCTGACACGATCTCCTGCCCAGCGAGTCCTCAGGATCACAGTACAACCTAAATGAATCAGAATCAGGTTTATTGCCAGGTAGGTAAACACATACGAGGAATTTTACTTAAAATTAAACAAAAATTAAAAACACAGATAGAAAACTATTTGAAGAAACTATAATAACATAAAACATAAAAACATTAAGACAATATAGTAAATAAAGAAATGAGAAAAAGATGGAGCAAGGAACAAAGCAGGACAAAGAGATGTGCGAGTTTAGAAGAAACATAAAAGGGATATTTTCAATCTTGTGAAGTGCTTGGTATTTGGAAGAATGCTAGCACACTAAACAAGTTGTGGCGAGCCTTTACCTGTCTTTGATGATGCTGAAATAGAAGCTGGAGAGCTCTCTGGCGATGAAGCCTTGCAGGACACGGGTGGCCCGGCCAGCATCAAACTCAGTGTAGGCGTCCGTCACCTGCACACAAACACATATCAGTCAGCAGCTGAGGCCGTTTGGACTGAGATCAACAAGCTTTACACCTGAACTCACCTTGATGCTGTACTCGCGGAGCAGGTGCAGCATGTACTGGTCGATGTAGTGCATCTCTTTGGGGTCCACCGCCTGCACGCGGGGGTCGAAGCCCTGCAGGTTGCCGAGCAGGAACTTCAGAGTGTTCCTCAGCTGGTGGAGAAACAACACAAAGGCATTGAGTCTCATACACATGAAGCTCAGCACAAGTTCTTTCAGGAAGACTGGGTACATATTCATTCACTCCGCAGCTGCATATAATCAGCTCATCATAGGCGTTCTCTTTAACCTATTACATTTCACCTCAATCTCCAGCAGCCAATCACTGTGCTGCAGCCAAACTTTAAAATGGTTCTCCTCTCTCCTGCAGTCAGCTGTGATTTCAGGTCTTCATGCTGCGGCCCGCCTCCATATCCAGTGCCCAGGAGAGCTAATCCAAAGACCTCATCACACCTCCTCTTCATCCCATCTCCTCATCAAATCCTTCAACATCACCACCAGTGTCTAGACCCCGGGGGGGGGGGTTCCTATATGTCTGCATTTCCCCCTTTTATATATACGATTTCAGGATTGGGGACTATTCGGCAAAGACTTTTAACATTTATCATATGGCGCATGTGTCAATAAATGTTCTTTAGACTAAAAATGAAGTCTTTCCTGATTGAAATAATGCAAGCCACTCGAGCAGTGTCCATACCGCACTCTGGTACCTTGTTGATGCTGTCTCTGGCTGAGTTGAGAGCAGTGGGTCCAATCTGCACCTCAGAGAAGACGTTGGACTCGGCCACCCACCAGCGCAGCACATCGGCCCCGTATGCTGGCAGACTGGGGTCCTGGAGATGGAGGGACAGTGAGAGAAGACGAGTGCAGGACAAACACCAGGTTGTAAGTAACAAGGCTTATTGTTTAAAGGGGACCTATCATGCAAAATGCACTTTTGTACGTCTTTTATACATGAATATGTGTCCCCGGTGTTCCAGGGAACTCACCAAGTGTCAGAAAACACAACCCTCTCTATTTTCCTCCATACCCAAATCTCTAAAAAAGGGGCTGCAACGGATCTGATAAAAACTGATCCAGATTTGAACACTGTCCTGACGTCAGGACAGTGGCGCTACGGCTATTGGGCCAACTCCACCAATCAGGAGGAGACAGCCACGGCCATTGCCGTTCGAAAGCGCTGGAGACGCTGTAGTACATATGCCAGGCCTGTAGATGGTGCTGTTGCTCACAGAATCAGCCCTTGCAAAAACAGAGCTACAAAAGTGCAAATTGAGCGAAATGAGGCATGGCTAAAATGCATGATCTGCATTTTTTGAACAAAAAAAAGTATAAATATGCCTTATATAGGTATGGTCCTACACTATATTATTAAAATATAGCATGATAGGTCCACTTTAAGTGAATTAATAAAGGATGACAATGATATGAAGCTCAGTTTATCAGGGTGTGGTTAAAGTCTCCGTTACCTCCCCTCCATTAATGACTTTATCTGGATCCACTACGTTCCCCAGAGACTTGGACATCTTGTCTCCTTTCTCAGTGACAGCAAAGCCATGGACCACCAGAGCCCTACACACAAATGCAAAAAAAGTTAGAATTGAGTATTTAGTTCGCTTAGGTTAGTGTAAATGAACATTTCGAAAATGTGATTATTGGCTATGCATCGCTATTCTTAGTGGTATAGCACATTTGTGTAAATGTAAGATAAAAAATGGCTTTGAATGAGTATTTCTGTGTATAATTTGATTATTGCTACATGCGGTATAATTGTGGCGTAAAAGGCGTTGTCGCATATTTGACACAAGTTCAGTTCATTGGTCATTAGTAGTATAACTTATCTATTGTATTGGCTTCTGTGCAAGCTAGTGTTTTTTGGTGCCTGGCGCATGCTAGAGCCAAAAGCCACAGTATCTCAACCTCGGCTGCCTCAATGGAACATTCTTCGGCAGTTATTCACATTACAAAGTCCTTTTATTACATTTCAGTACATTTGTCAGCGTCATGTAGACACAGCACCCCCCCCCCCCTACAGGGAGAGGACGGGACACTCACTTGTAAGGAGCCTTGTTCCTGACAGCCACGCTGGTGAGCAGCGAGGACTGGAACCAGCCTCCTATCTGGTCCTTCCCCTCCACATACACATCCGCCCTGGAGTCTGACTCTGCAGGGCGAGAGAAAGAAAATCTGTTATTCCTTCTACTTAAAAACAAATAAAACAGTAAGTGTTGACCCAGAGGAGAGAAATGTCTAGAAAAGACAAGAGAGAGCAGCCAGTGTTAAGGGGGGGGGGGGGGGAATGCAAAGACCACACTTTAAGGTGACCGTTGCTTAAGACTAGGGAAACATGCCATGTCCAAAACATGTCCCTAAATTGCCTGTTTTTATTTCTTTAACTCAAGATTTCATATCTAAACAGTTATCTGACAAACAGGTGTTGCAGCCATGGCATCACAGGCAGAAACAAGTTTGAGCAAACATCCATTTTGATCCTGAAGGAATCCACATACAAAACA